GCAAATAATTGTCTGAATGAGAATCAGAATCAGAACCTTAAGGAATATTATTTGATGCTTGTCCTAGATTTCTACCCAAAAAATTATTTAAGAATATTCTAACTCAAAATTTCATGATTTTGGTCAGACTTACTTTCAAAAGTTCATATATATCTTATGAGAAAGATTATTTTACCGTCATAATTTTGTGGTTTTAATCATTCTTATCTATTATTTTACAATATTTTTTGTTACTCATTTTGCTTTTACTTATTTTTAACACAGTGGATATGACCTTTTAACTACAAGGCTATACAACCTGGCAAGTGCAAGGACGTGAGTTCGATTCCCCGTACCGGAATAAAAAAAAAAAAAAAAAAAAAAGACTATAGCACAGATAGAATGGGAACTATTGCATTAATATTTTATTTGCTTTTAGTAGAATTCAGGTAATTTGTAAAATAATGAAAACATAAAAAGTAAAATAAATTATAAAACTAAAATCCCTATATATAAGATAAACATATATATGTGTGTGTATGTATAGGTTTTTTATTGTTATTCATTATTTGAAATATATAACACTCCATCATGTAAAGCCAGTTACTATCTCTATGGGAATATCAAGGTTACTTTTATATTTCCTCTGTAAAAATAAACAATTCTTCTGTTACATGCATTTGATTTCCCTTCACAGCCTTTATAGTTCTCAATCATAGACGTCTGAATAGAATACTGCCATCATGATCACAAATCTGACTCTACAGTCCACACAAGCAAGCTGCTTTGAGCTTCACTCACCCATGTCTCAGTAGACTGAAAGCCATTGCTCTGATATAAAGCCTTATTTGCTGAAATATGCCAAAAGAATTAGCTGTGACTCAGAATTTGGAAAACAGCCATAGCTGTCTCCTAACTGAATGCTGTCATCAAAGCATCCATGGTCATGAAACACTTGTTCTCACACTTTAATGTGCTGTTGGTACACCTGGAAAGTTCGATGTGTGTAGCTAATAATTTCCCAGGTGATGCTATTTGAGAGCCACTGTCTCACAGATTTCTCCTCCCACAAGCTACTCCGGCCCTTTTGCTGCCTACGTATTGACTTTAGGGATAACTCCAGCCATGGATACGTAATTTTCATGTATAATCATTCATATACAGTAACTGCGGGTCACGTGTTCTCCCGTTTTCAACTTGTCCGATATCCTCTGAACAGAATGTGTGAATCTGGGAAATCAAACAAGCTAGAGCATATTTAGATTTTTTTTTTATTGGTGAGCTTCATTTTTAGGACTCTTTATTCTCCTCTTTTATGTGACTAAACTATTGATTCTTGACAAATAAAGTCTTATAGGCATTATATCTTGGCAAATGTTGGCTTTATCCCCTTAGACAATTGTTGGCACACGTAAGTGGTTCTCAGAATTGCCTGAGAAAGCTGCAAAATGAGGGATTCCTGCAGCATTTATGACTCAGTAGTTCTAGGGTGAGGGGCAAGAATCTGCACCTTTGTCAACCCGGCAGATGAAGTCGATGTTACTCGGGGAACTGCGCCTCGGAGTGCGAATACCAAGTCCTGGATAGCCTAGGATGCGTCCGCAGGCACAGCCTTAGCACATGATCAGACACCGTGAGGCTTGTGAAGCCGGACGTTTCTATTCAGGAAGCAGGAAATCTATTCTACATCATCTCCAAGCTCTTCCAGTTTTAAAGATATCTCAGGTATTGCATATGCAATACCTGAGAGATCTTTTGTAAAACTCAAATCTTATAATAATTACCTAAATCATCTTTTTTTTTTTTTTTTTTTTTTATCCTGTTGTTTATTTTTTTTATTTTTTTTTGGTTTTTCTCCGGTACCAGGAACCGAACTCACAACATTGCGCTTGCCAGGCAGGCGCTTTGCCACTGAGCTAAATCCCCAGCCCACCTAAATCATCTTGACAAAATGAAAATGCAATAAATGCCTAGTGCAGGAGAAATTAACCTGCTCGTTGCATCCAATAATAGGGCAGTTTCTGGGCTATAATTAACCAAATTAAAACTAGGTAAACAAATTTAGGAACATTTAACCTCCTACTTGTTATTAGGTATTTTACTTTTCTTTTAAAACTCAAGTTCTGAACAACTCAATAATGAGTAGGCCTCAGGTCACTCTGAACCATTCCTGTATATATCTACCATGCTGCAGGTGATTGGAACATTTCAGGTAAAAACAGTACAAGAAGTCACTTCACTGATAATATAGGAATTTGACAGATGTCTTTTTAAAACTATGTTAAATATGAACATGTGAATCAGGAAATCATTAAATGAAATTATTCCTCTATTGATAATTGTTACACAATGAATCTTTTATCTGGTGATTGAACCCAGGGCTCAGGCATACTACTGAGTTACATCTCCAGCTTCTGTTTTTCTTTTCTTTTCTTTTCATTGTTTACCTTTAAATTAACGCATTGAGGGGCCGGGGATATAACTCAGTGGCACAACGCCTGCTTGGCAAGTGCAAGGTCATGAGTTCGATTCCCAGTACAAAAAAAAAAAACAATTAATGCCTTCATATCACTCAGTAAGGCATGCTTGTCTTCCAGAGGCACAATGACAGAAAATCTCAGGTTCTGAATATGAAATAGTTGCAGTGTTATTAACTAGAACTGATTTCAGAGGCAACTGGAACTGTTACCTACTTATAGCAGAAATAATTTCTTATTCCAAATCCCATATTTAATAGGACAATAATATATAATATAGTAAACTGCTTTTACCATGATCAATTCAAATATTTAAAAGTAACAAACTCATCTTAAAAGATCATCAGAAAAATGTTACTTAAAATTAGGAGTTTTATTAGGCCTTCCTGAACTGAAATTTTTATTGTATCTACTTACTGTTTTGTGAGGCTTAAAGTGTCATTGTTATATTCCAGTACATGAAATTTTGAGAGTTCAATTATAAACGGGCTGATGAATTGGAGCAGAACAATTACCCTTCACCACATTGACCTCTGGTCCATCCACAGCAAAGTTCTTACAGCCTTACAGTGAGTAGTGTACCCACCAAGCTTCTAGGGAGAAGTTTTATGTTCTGATTTGCATAGTGTGTTTTCATTTAATTCAGTCAACACTGTGCCATTGAGTTACATGCCTGGAAATACTCAATGGCACGGTGCCTACCTGGAAAGCACAAGGTCGTGAGCTTGGTTCCTGTTACACATAAATAAATACATATTCCAGTATGTCAGGAACCATGTCAAATTTTAGAAACAACCCAAATTCTCCTTTTTATACAAATTATAGGATCGGGGAGGTAATCAAGCAAACATCCATTCTAATACAGTATGATTGGCCTGAAAATAAAGGTAAGGCAAGACTACACTGGAATACAAATGTGCACCTAACTCAGATGGAGGGATTAAGGGAAAGCCGTCTACTATTTTGAGTAATATTTTGTTATTAAATGCAGTTTTGCCAAATAAAGAAAAATGTTCTAGACAGATCAAAAGAGGGACCTTAAGTTGATTTTCAGAACTGCAATTCTTCAGTATGGCTTGAAGGGAGAGAACAAAACAAGGAACCAAGAAAAGGGGTGAAGAGATAGCAGGAATCAGATGTACCTACAACCCCATAAACCCAGCAGAGGCAAGTCGAAGCCTGGTGGAGACACAGCTTGCCAAAGAGATGTGACCTAGGAAATGACAAGACACAGGGCTTGGAGAAATCTCTCTGGCTACAGAACTAAAATAATTAAAACAGGTGTTGTGGGAGAAAATCTGTATCTTCAGTACCGTTTTGGATGTTCTTGGTAATCACGGTGAGAGAAAGCGTTTGACTGAGTTGAAGCAGTAGCAAAGTGCTCTAGTGTCCTGGGGCCATCATGAAGTAACAAACCAGGCAGTTCAAAGAATCAGTAATATATTATCTCAAGGTTCTGGAGACCGGAAATCCAAGATCAAGTTGTTGGCAGGACCACACTTTCTCTGAAGGTGCTACAGCAGGCTCGGCTCCATGCTTTTCCTAGGCTCTGTGCTTTTCTTGGGCCACAGTGTGCTCTTTTGTGCTGTCATGTCATCATCCCTCTGTGTGACTGTGTGTCTTCTATTTTAGAGGAACACCAGGCATAATGAAGGAGGCCCACCTAACGATCTTAACTTGATTATGTTTTCAAAGTTCTCATTGATAAGACACTGCGTGGTTGGACTTTGTCACTTGGTGGGGGGGGAGGATTCAACTCAATCAATCGTCTAAAGAAAGCATGAAAATAGAGACACATGAAGGGACTATGAATGAGGTTAAAATTGGAGATGAAGTAGATATAGAAGATGGCAGTGAAGACCCAGCTCTGAAACCCGGAGTTTTGTAAATAGCTTCATGGGAATCAATGGTTGTCTAATATTTATCACAACCTGCTTTTATCAATGAGTAGAACTCTTAAATCAAGACATCATGGTGGAAGGGCATGGGGGAACAGACCTGCTCAGTTCATGGCCACAGAGAAGCAGAGCAGGGGCCGTGTGGGAGAGGAAGGGATGAGGGGCCAGACACAGCCCCAAGTCACACCTCCGTGGCTCAGAGATGCCTGGGAGTCTGCAGCACTCTCTATACTGAGACAGATGACTCTTTAATAATTTCAGTTGAAATGAAAACAACTGCCATATATTTTTTAATCTAGCATACCAAAGGGTTAAAAATAACTTCTCAAAGTTAAACTACGTATTTACATTAGTAGTGACATTAAGTTAAAAAGAATTAATATTGTACACAGGAGTTTGTGAGTGAATTTTTTTAATACTGCAGGAAAAGTAACCTAAGATTTTTATTAGGTAGAATAAATTTTCAATGAGAAATTTAACTATAGACATGAAATTGCATGTAATGTAGAAGTTCAGTAAAGAAGTGAGCCAGAGTTTGTATTGTTTGACTTTTGTTTTCAAATATATAATTTTCCATCATACTCAATAATATCAATCTAAAAAGCACGGCATGACTCAATCTTTAATATTTCTTAACTTTTTCCAGGCAAAGAAGTCATGCCTAAACCTCCACGTATGTCAGTGCATGCCAAGTGAATGAATGAATGCGCAAGTAAAGCAAGTCTTAAATGCACGTCCTCACTTATCCTTTGATTCAGTGTTGAATATTTTGCTTTCAGTAAAAGATAACTATTTTGTCTGAACAATGTGCTTTTATCCAAAATATATTTCTTAGCATATACTATGCTGAAATTTTCCTTTACTCATGGATGGTACAAACCAGTGATTATACTAACCTTGTTATTAAAAATCTTAGCTCACGCTTCCGTTTTTCTAAAAGTAATATTATTCAGACTGACAGTGGGGGACATTTACTTCTCTGTTTCTATTTATTAATCATAATCATGAATAAAAGTAAATTAATATGATAGATTCAAACACAATGAGAAATATAAAAAAGAAAAGTGAATGAGGATAGAAAAGTAACGTAATTGTGTAGCCATTGTTGCTAATGTTTCCTTATATTTTTAGAGCCACAGGTGAAAAAGGAAGAGAAGACAAGTATGTACATTATATGTTTAAGTTTATGCATGCATTCTGTGCTTATAATGAATAACACATCTCTTGGTAACGTTAAACCAAATTAATACAGATTAAACAGCAAATTTATCATTGTGCAAGTTTCAAAAAATGACAAGCAAAATATGTATTTATGTGGGCCATCCATTCTTCTAAAAAATCACTGACATCTATGAAATCCCTGAAAAATTTATACCACTCAGAAGAAGCAACTGACTAATTAGTTGACTTATACAAAACCACAATTTCTCCAGGTTATAGTACAACCCAGATATTCCTCCAGAATAGTAGTTGCTATGAACCCATTCTTTTTCCAGGGTCCTTAGCTGGACGTGTTTGAGAGCTACAGAATTTTTTCAAAAGAACACACAGCAAAGTGCTTCTGAAACAGTTAAACTTGTGATCTGTATGTCCCTCGCTGTGTTAATTTTGTGGAGATACTTTAATAAACTACTAGTGAGACTTACAAAATAGACAGTTATTCTCACAATTCTGGGTCTGGACATTCAACATACATTCTCACTCCAAAAGGGAGAAAGTGGAGGAAATAAAAAAGAAAAAATGATGATAGAAGAAGAACAAATGGAAATAAATCTTTTGTAAACAGGGAAGGAAAGAGGAGTGGAAGGGAGAGCAGGGGAATGGGCAAAAAAGCAAATCCAGTTATATTCCCCATAACGAATGTGATCACTATGTGCACCTAAAATGTACCAATAAATTTAATTAATTAAAACCAATTAAAATTTAAAAATGAGAGAGAATGAATCTAAAACAGTGTAAAAGCTATCAAATTTCAAATCCTAAGCACATTCTCTCTTACTGTTCTGTATTTTGGGGCTTGTATGTAGGAGTCTTACTCTCTGAGCTCTTGGAGGTCATAACGCTGACCTCTCCGCTGATGGAGACCCTTTGAATTCATGGCTCTCTACATTTTGAATTGTTTTTTCTTTATTTCATCTTGTCTCTGTCCCTTTCTGTCTGTGCACAACATTTTCAAAACCCTGTCCAGAATTCCACTCAGTTCATAAGGGTGCAAGACATTAGATCTTTTGGTCTTTACAGATATTTTCTGAGCTAACATCTCTACACCTGTTTCCTACCGGGATGTTTGCCTGGATTCATGAGTTAGATATCTAATCTCTTCAGCAAACATTTGTCCACCCACATACTTTGCTTTGTCTTCAGGAAACACTACCTAGGTAGGTTAAGAATTATCCAAATCACCAAATGCTGATTCTGTAACTATTAACAATGTCTTCATTTTCTTTTCACAATCACTAAAGAGAAATCTGTCTCTACCTTCCTTACTTTACTTAGAAAATATCTCAGGCAAATATCCAAGCTTGATAGTTTACAGATTCTGGTTTGTAATCAACAGAAGAATAAAACTCAGCCGACTTCTCTACTACTTTATAACAAATATTAAAATATTTCTTTTTTTCTAGTGTCCAATAACATTTTCCTCATTTTCTTATGAGAAAGAACCTGAAGCACCTTTAACTTCCATATTGCAAGTAGCATTTTGCTCATAAGTACTCTTACTAAGTCACAGGAGAAACAACTTCATGGCAGACCCACGTATAGCATGATTACTAGTCCATCACAGACGTAGCATCCTGAGCTGGGAATAATTGTCAGTGAAATTCTTCTTTTCCCATATGGTATACAAAACAGAATGATTTTGGAAAATAAATTTGTGCTTTAGTATATGTTTTCCAAAGGAAAACTCTCTGCCTTTTCTCCCCACCAGAGCCACAAGTTAAAAAGGAAACAAAACCAGGTAAATACTTTGTCATTTTAAATAATGTTAGCGCTGTTTTAAAACTAAAAGAGGCTCACCGTTCACTGTGGGATAAGCAGAGCCTCCAAGTTCCTCATTATGTCTTCACTCTGTGGTTCAAGGTGATTTCACATGACTGGATTAGGTGAAATTGGGGTGGCCCACTACCAAAAGTGTCTGAATTATGGTGTTAAATAAACCTCAGCAGAGTCTCCAAGTTTTAGAACATATCTTCGGGTTTTTTAAAAATATGTACAATCATGTTAAATTTGTGCCGAAGAAACAGCCAGGGTGTGAAGGGAGAGGTGACAAGAGCCTGTCACTTGTGTACTGGGGACGAAGCAGCAGCACCACATTTTTACTGTCATTGTGTCACTACCAAAAACACACAGCGCGGTAATTATTGTCTGTGTTCAGTGTTCATGGAACAAGTCCAACAGAGCAAGTTGAGAATATTCCTTATTTTTCAAGGATAGGTGCTTAAATTAATACGGTTGCAGCTTGAGTTCTACCACACATCTGATTTGTTTCAAACCCAGGGTAATTGTACTAAGAAATCATTTCAGACTCTGTCACTTTATTAAGGGTAACATTGGCCTAAGAATAAGGTGGACTTGCCAGTTTACATTCATATTTAATGTTTAAATCCTAGCTCTGATACCAACTAACTGTTGACCTAAGGCAAGTTTTTTAAAGCTCTCACACTCTACATAAGTTGTTCCTTCATTATAAAAAAATTATACAGAGGGGCTGGGGATTAACTCAGCGGCACAGCGCCTGCCTGGCAAGCAGGTCATGAGTTCGATACCTGGTACTGAATAAAAATAAATAAATAAAAAATAAAAAAAATTACACAGAAAGATCTTCAGTATCAACAAATTCAAGCATCTAAATCTCGATTTATAGATAACACTACCTCACCCGTTTAATTCTCACCAGAGCTAATGTGCAGTTACTCATAGCTTAACTGTGGTTGCTCTTATAGGTAACATATTTGTAGTGTAGGAAAGGTTATAAATACCTACCTACTAGTTTATGATTTATTTTCCTGATTAATTTACTACTGCAGGTATGTTTTACCAGATACATGCATTTTTTAAAACTGAAGTCCAACTCCATTTAAAGCTAGTTTTGTTTAGTAACTAGCTAAATTTATATTTGCTAATTTTTTTATTTTAAGAAATAAAGAAAACATATTAGCAAACAGACATTCATTTACAAAATAGCACAAGAACAATACAAACAAAACAGTTACAGACAAAGTTGTAGGAAATTAACCATGGTAGTTGTATTCCTTATTGATATCTTCAATGTGGCTTCTCAAGAAAACATATAGAGACGTACAAGATTAATCAAAAAAGTAATCATTCTGTTCCTTTCTGTAGTGCAAGAGAAGACAGTAGTACAACTATGTTAGCTATAGTGTATATACATACTTTCATAATTTCCCCTTCTTTTCCTTCTCTTTACCCACACCCCTGTATTTGCTATTTTTATTACATTTTTATTGTGTAAGTAATATCCAATTTATTTATTCCTTTGTAGCTGCTTCTGAAAAAACACAAATACACAGTATGTATATTCATTTTGTTTATAATGCTTTTATGAAATCTTCTATAAGAAAGTATTTACATATTTGTAAGGTCATACACTTCAAACTATGGTTTTATATTCACACTTTATTAGAGCCTGAGATTTGCAAATTACACATATTAAAATATAAATAATAATTCTCAATATGTTGATTCACAAACCTACATCTTTATATTTTTCATATGAAATAAAATGACATGAAAGTTTAGAATTATTTTTTTCCCCACAAGGACAATTGTTATTTCCTATTTTATAAACCATTGACCTAATTCATAAAAAATATGATTGCATCTTAATTTATAAAAGCTTCTAAATGCCTGAAATGATTCTCTCATTTTCAGAACAAGACATAGTGAAACCTGAAAAGACTATTTCTCAGGGTAAACCAGGTATTTGGCAGGTGGGGTTTGTGGTATCGGATTATCTTGCAGGGTCCTAGCCTCAGCAGAACACACAGTACACAACGAACTCCAAAGCTCTTAGGAAGCATTCATGTCCTGACGCATAAACCCGTTATTCCCACCACTTTTTGCGCTGAGATCCAGCCCAGGCAGACGCAGCTACACAGCTCACCGTTCCTTCCCAGCAGAAAGTTATCTTAGCACAAAGATCTTAGACCATCCCCAAGGTGAATAGGGTCGATGTATGGATTTGTTTCACCCTGTGTGGAGCAAGACATTCTCAGAAAACTTGTAATTCAGATTGGTCCGTTCAAATGTAATCACCTTAAGCCCCAAATCTCAAGGAAATAACATCTCTCCTTGCTTCTTTCTTTCCTTTTTTTCTTTATTCCTGCCTGTCTTCATTCTTTTCCCATTATTCCTGGTCTTGCATTTTAAAGACAGTAGAGGTAAACCAATGTGTTCTGCTTATAAAAATACAGAATTGAACAAAACAAGATTACTAACTAATTTCTATTTTAAAATAGAAACTTTTAGTTTTATTTTTAATATGAATTTCTTGTATTTATTAAAATGTGAATTAAATTAAGTAGGAATTAATTTTGAGACCATCTCAGTCTTGGTGACTCTGCAGAATACTATCCCCATTTTTGCTTTGTTTATTCAATGCCATGAATATGGCTGGAGAATGTTTAAAAAGTAAAAAATTATTTCCCCAATAAATCTTAGGAAATTTTTTCCTGACTTTGAAAATTGTTCTTCAGAAAAGCTATATGTATTACCTTTGAGTCAGTTTGATCTGTGTGTACTTTTAAAAATATGGGGCACTAACAACAGAAAATACAAGAATAAAGAAAGTGGAGCAGTCTTTGGGGAGGGGCTAACTGTATCCACATAAGCAAAATTTTAGAAACAACTTTTGGAAGTTTCTGATTTAAGTCCGTACAGAGACCCTGCTATTTTCTTGCAGGCCAAGTGTTAGCTATTTTGAGATGAAATACAGAAAGAGGGAGAGTTTGTAGCCTTTGGGTACATAGCAAATGTATGGTGTTCCAGACACCAAACTTCATTCGGTACAGCCTTCCTGCTCTGACATTCTCTGACACCCATTCAGCTCCCTAAGGATGCGTTACCAGCTGGCTCCTCCTCTGTATGAATACCTCAGAAGCAGAGTCTTGCACAGGATCACCGTGATAATGTTTTTGCCTTGACGTGAATCCCCTTGTTTCTGAGAGATGATAAAAGGTTTTTCATATGTATAGCAGCTCCATGTTCATAACCTAAGAAATTTGGGTTATACAGCTAATCCTGGGCTCCCACAGATCTACCTGCATAGGAAGTTTCAAAATTGCCTATTCCTATTTTAATGTAACAGTGAAAATGGAATAAATATTTAATAAAGAGACACCTCCGTGTAGATAAATTCAGTTCCATTCATATTGCCAGGTCAGGGACAAATTAAAGAGCTAACCCTCAATAGTGAGAGGGCAGCAAAGGGCATCTTAGATGGACAGGTTTTCTTTGTGGTCCCATTCATCTTAGGTTGAAGATATTAGCTGCTGTTTTATTGAGAAAACTGATAGGTTTTTCTTGATGTTGTTGCTATTTCAAACCCAGTTCAAAATGTCAAGTTTAAAATATGGCACCATTTTGTAATGATATATGGACAATTCCTACTCGCATTAACATTTTTTTCTGTCACAGAGGAAAAAGTTCTCAAGCAGGCAAAAGCTGTTACAGTAGAAAAAACAGGTAAATAAGTCATTTTATTTCTTCTGTGCATCAGTTTTCTGTTAGATAAGAGCACGCGTACTTCCTGAAGCATGTAGATTTCAGTGCCACAAACTGTAAGATTTTTAATTTTGGGGAACAGTGATATAGTCTGGAAGGTTTTTAATTGGAAATAATAAAAACTAGAATGCTATAGTAATCATTTTAAAATGTGATCAAACTAAATATTTTTTTAATTCATAAGGAAATCTATGTAATGCACTAATTATCAAGTATGCTTGGGTATCTAATCTTATTTTCAAACCCCATGTCTTCAAATACTGAAACATAAATCTGAAACTTCCTTCAGTTTATAAATTATGTAGGCTAGTTTCCTTTTATGAGAGCTCCACAAAGTCATATTTGTATATATAGTTTCTTAAATCTGCGTTAAAACATGATAAGTAGGATACATAATATTAAAGTGAAACTGGCTCGTTTCTCATCATTTCACAGTAAGAAATAAAGGCATGCACAGACTCTTGCAATTTTGGCATCTTTCCTATGTAAAGAAAATTTCTGTGTCTTCAACTCAGCTGACATCTTGGCCTACTAAATCCCCTCCATTTGATTCCAAAATTAAAATTCTACCCACACTGACCGTTAAGAGTTTCATTTCTTACTCTTAATCATCCTAAAAGAATCTGTGCGGTAATTTATTTTTTCTTTTAAAGGAGATAATCAGATTTAAATGCAGCTTCTTGGAGGAAAATAGGAGTCAGGAGAGAACTAATTTTTTATTCAAATTATAATTTATTATTCCATGAGGAAAAGGAGAATCTTCTTTCTTTCCTCCTTTCTTCCTTCCTTCCTTTCTTCCTTCCTTCCTTCCTTGCTTTCTTGCTTTCTTGCTTTCTTCCTTTCTTCCTTCCTTTCTCTTGGGGGTCTCACTAAGTTGTCCAGGCTGGTCTTGAACTTCTATTTCAGCTTTTTAGTAGCAGAAATTTTATCAATGGGCAGGAAGGAGATTTCAAACGAGCATTGCACATTACCTCCTGTGACTGTTGCCTTTTTCTTTCAATCACTACCTAAGTTTATAACGTTAAATGTTCAGATTTGCACTGTAATGTGCTACTGTGCCTCCCTATTTCACAATCATACGGGTATTTAGGGATAATTGAAAAGCTAGCTGATATACCTGTGTCCCAAACATTCTCGCAGATGTTTTTAAGTTTTATGACTTTTAAGGTTTTATCCTTTTTTCAATAAGAAATTTGAAAATTTCTGCAATATGAAAATTAATGTACTTATGCACAATTAATGATAGCGCTCAGAGAAAAGTTTAAACTAAGAAGGAGGCTGAAGGCTGGGATCTCGCTGGAGGTGGGAAGATGTCGCCTGTGGCTAGGGGTAGGGGGTGCTGGCGAACTGTTGCAGTTCCCAGTTTCTGGTTTGGGACCTCCACGGCGCACTGTGGGTCCAAGCTAGTGTCTGTTTTTGATGGGGTTAAGAGACTTCTGCGCTCCCTTGAAGTCCGCTCTTGGCGCTCCACACTAGGGCGCGGAGGAGCGAGGACCACTGAAGGTGCGGAGGCGGCCAGCCCTCGGCCGGGTCCACAAGGTCCGGGTGAGCCGGGGAGACATCAGCGGGGCTCTGAAGGTCTGACCTGTAGCCCCAGGTCTCTGGACCTCCCTTCTGAATGTGTGGAATAACGCTGCTGGGCCCAGCCCTCGAGATTTCTGTGATGGCGTATTTTTGTGAATTGTTGAGGATGTAGACTTAAGTTGGGGTTTTGAGAAGTAGTATTAAAGTTGTGGAACTCTGAAAAATGTTTTGGTAATACCACCTCTGAGAATATATCGGTCATATCCAAACAATAAAATAAAATAAAATAAGGGGGAAACTAAAGCTAAGAAGACATAAGTAACAGATAAGAAGCTATTTTTCTCATGGTTCGTGCTTCGTAATATGCCGTCTGCTTTCCTTAGCTTTCCACTGTCAGGCCCAGACCAGCAAATGAACCCTTTTAAAAAGTGCCTGACCATTTCAATCTTAACAATTTGTGTGATTTTTGAAATTCATTCTCCATACTGTGACCTATAACTAAATTTCTTGTAAGAATGATAAATTGTTATTGCTATGGTTTTGATTAAGTAGCTTTGTCTATAGCCACTAATTAATGTTTCATTATATGAAAGAAATGTTTCAAAATTGTGGCCCTATTATTGACATTAAATGGGTGACTATATAGAAGCTATACTGTGTTCAAAATAAACCGTACATGGTGATACACACTCTCATCCTAGCATTCTGGGAGGCTGAGGCAGGAGGATCACAAGTTTGAATGGAGCCTGGACATCTTAGTGAGGCCTTAGCTTTCTTATGGCTGAGACAACATACCCAGTACTCGGGGGGAGAGGGTTAATCTGGCTCACACTCTGACAAGCGGGATCCCAGGCAGAGACATCAGGGCAGAAAGACACGGTGGAGCCACTCTTTTGAAATGAGGGCAGCGATGACGCAGAGAGAGAAGGATCCAGGCAGGAGCGCACAGCTTTCTGGGTGGCACCTCCAGCAGAGCAGGTTCAGCCACTGAGTTCATCAGTGCACGAATCCAGGATGAGCCTGTACGCCTACTGGGCAGTCACTTTCTGAATGCATCTCAACCATAACAGACCACGTGTCAAAAACAAGCCAAAAGGGGCTGGGGGTGTAGCTAATGAGAAGGCCCTGAGTGCAATCCACAGTGCAGCAAAAGCAAATAAATAAATAAATAAATAAGTCGAAGTGCCTAAAATAAGTTCAGGCAATCAACAAATCCCTTAAACATACATGATAAATAACAAAGGAAAATAAAGTGATGTACAATTGTCAAAATTAAAGTGACGTACATGTGTATAATTTGTACACATGTATATATTGAATTATACACATTATATACAATGTATATATTGAATTTGTACACATTTATATTACACACGTGTATATATTGAATTTGTTTTCGTTAAGCCCCATTAATTACACCGAAGGCAGAGGTTTGCTTTTCGAAATCTGTAAAAGGGAAACCTTTTGCCGTTTGTTACAAGCATGACATCCCCTCCCCCGTGGAGACTTGGGAGGGCCTCCACAGCACTGAGCAGGTGTGACCCGAGACTGCAGGGAAGATGGTTTAAAGGCACAAACATGTGGCGACTGTCACAGGGGTGACAATGGGCCCACTCCTGGGTCAGACTGTAAAGTGGGCCCTCGGCTGAGGCATCTGCGAAATGAAGGCCTCGAGGACGGCGTGCGTGTGTTGGTCATAGACGCAGTGGCTCAGTGTGCAGAACGGGTGGCAACGTCCAGAGGGAAACCCTGGACGCAGGACAGGAAGCTGTGAAAGTGGCTCTGCAGTTACATACAAGTGTACAGAGTCTAACTGAAGCACGCGCACAGCCCAGAACCTGGGGCACAGATTTTAGTGTCTGGACTGTATCGTCGTAGTTGCTTTGATTGGTTTGCCTTTTGCAGTGCTGTTCTAATGATAAACTCTCACAAACCGTAACCTGGAAAATTGGCTTCATAATGTTTTTTATTTTGCATCATTTAATACAACACTTACAAAATGTTCATTTCGTAGAAGTTCATTCTCACGATGCCTGGAGTCCTCCATCTCACCACCTATTTCATAGTTTCAGAGAAACTCTCAGTTCAGAGGTGAAGGAAAGAAAGACAGGTAGACGTCAAGAACTGCTCAGGAAGGCCCAGCCTGGAGGTCGTCAGAGGCTGCAGTTGGCCTGGTCTTCTCTCTCCACATGTTCTGGCCCCTTCACTGTATCCCACTCTATGTGTCCTCATTCAAGTTCCACTTTTGATAAGAGAAAGAGACCTCTCATCCAGCTTGCATTTTGTGCATTTTTCAAGGGGCTAAGGAGCATGTCACTCAGAAATTTTGATGCTGTCGAATGGCCTAGAATTAGCTGAAATTCAACAGTCAGCATTCTACCTGGGTCTGGAGGGGAGGGTGGCACGGGACAGTAAAGATCCAACAGTGCTACTCTCTACAGTTAAGCAGACTGAATCCAATTCTGTGGAAAAGACCCGTACTCAGCACTAAATTGCTTTTGACCTCACAAGAAACAAAGTAGAAGTCAAAACGGGAAACAGAGGTGCTGGTAAAACGCCAAGGGCACATGCTGTCCGACTTCAGATTCCCCAAGGAGTGAGTGACTCAGCCTTCAGCCAGGGCAGGAAAAGGAATTCTTCTCTTTGGTGAATGCTATTCTCTTCTTTCTAAACCACCCGGCCCCAAGGGGGCTTATTCCAGGGACTGGCCTTCAGCCACACAGAAGAAAGACTTTGCAGAGCATTCCACAAAAGAACCCAGTCTTGACTAGAATGTATTTCTATGGCAATGTGGTTTCTGCGTTACAAGTCACATAAAAATAATTTAAGGCATATCTTTTGTGTCAACTAAGGACTGACGCAACAACGAATCTACTGATTGCCAGAGAATTTTTGCTTTCCCTTTATAGGAAAAGCTGAACATCAACCAAAGGAATCTCCCTCTGTTAAGACAGGTATTTTCTTTTGGTCTTGTCTGGGTGATATTCTATCTCAATCTGTGGTTTTTACTAAATTTGAAAGTTAAGGCAACATGGCAAATTCTTCTCATGCTATTTCCTACTACTGTTTAGTTTTGTGGTTTTGCTGTACAGTCAGAATTATTTGAATAAGAGCTGTGTTGTCATCAATCAAATACAGATTGCAGATATGCTGGTCTAATACACCAACATTAACAAAGCAACTTGTTTCATGATTTACAAGATCCTCCCACTACACTCGGTATTAACTACTGTCATTATTGTGATTTATCATACTGATGAGTGTGACTCATCTTGATAGCTTAATATGGCCTATGAAATTACTCACACTAATTTCACTAATTATAAAGTTCAACTGATATATTTTTTTAAAACAAATGTTATTCTTTCTATGAAGCTTAATTCTTTCATAATAGTATTGCATTTTTTAAAATGTGTGATACTTTACATGGTTCAAACACTGGGTGACTAACTGAAAAAAAAAGGTCCATCTCCTTCATCTTTCCTACACTTGCCAGTACCTATTTAACACTTGAAAATATTCAATAGTTAGTTACCATTTTTAATGTGTTCTTCCAGCACTATCTATCTATCTGTCTATCATCTATCTATATCCCCTTTTATTTTCTAACACAGATGGTGACATATCTTCAAGTTTTTAAAATGAAATTACAGGAAAAATGTCCTTATTAATAGCATTCTATTATACAGACATATGTAAACATTTTACTAACCTTTTCAAAAGTTACATAATAATGAGTACATCTGCCTTTCTGATTTTGTTGACTTGACAAACTCATTAATCCATGCACCCAGTTCTGTTACTTTTCAGGTTAAAATATCTTAAAGCAGAACATTTAATAAAAAGGTATATCTAAGGTAATTTGCAAAGATGTATCAAATTCTTTTTTATAAAAGGTGAGTCAGTTCACATCCCACTGAATGTGTTAGAGTTCAATTGAAATGACTACACAGGATTCAAATTCTTCACAATCATAGTCAATATTGTCTTTTTTTTGAATAAATAAAACATCAGGTCTAAGACTGCTCAACTAATATTTTAGCTAATAATTTCAGAAAACAGGTTATATTGGAGAAAAAATATATTTATATGATACAGTTGGGTTTTTATTTTTTGTTTCTTGGGCTTTTTTTGGTACCAGAAATGGAACTCAGGACCTCGCGCTTGCCAGGCAGATGTCATGCTGCTGACTATAGCCCTGGCCCTCTACGTGATATAGTTTTAATCTATGATTTGCTGTTCTTCCTGAGATTTTATAGTATCATTTTACTCATACTATACTTGGAGAGTGCAATTGTTCAATTAATAAGAATAAAATTTCAGAAAGGACAATGGCAAAATATGCATTCTACACACTCAGACACAGTTAAGAAGTTCACACTGTTGTAAACGTTCATGTTATATCAATTTAAAGATAATGCTTTGGAGGAATAAAGGGGTACTTTAAAATTCTACTTTTATAGATTTGTAGCTAAACTCATTGAGAAATATGTCAAATTTACTCAAAATCCCCTACTGCTTATTTTAACATTAGCCTTATTTTTCAACTTTAACTATTAGAAAAGCAGAAACAGCAGATAAAAAAGGTTAATATATTATCCTAGACTCAAAATTGTCACTAATTTTCATTTTCTTTTATTTTTAGACAAACTGAAGCCAAGTTCAAGTAAGTGCATCATTTTAAGATTTTAAGAATATTCTATTAGCTTACTTTGATTTTATATTTTCCTTGGGATTTTATATTTTCCTTGAACATGAAGTTTAAAAGTATGGTATGTTGATGAGTATAATAACCATTCCATTGTAATCTATATGAGATTCTGGTTGACAGATAATATTGTGTAAATTCCATTCCTTAACCCTTGAGCATGTACTTACTGGGTGCTTATTAGGTTTACTACTGTGTACTAGGACAGGGCTGACATATGTACGGCAGTCATGGTTGTAGAGGTAGTACTTTTATCATGAACAATTTCCAGCACAAAACAAGCACTTGTCTCTCTGTTTTGTGTACTTTCAGGTGCTTGTTAGGATGTATTTAGTAAACACAACATGAAGATCCCTCTAATAGTCACCTTGTGGGTTAACAAATGTTCACTTCTCCAAATATTTGCCATGAATTATTTAATATCAACCCATTAGCTTTTTATTTTCTTAGTTTTTCAGTGCTTTGAGATTCATTATCTTAGTGATTCATAATCATTGCTTTATTTATGACATTCTAAAGAACAATAAAATGCAACATTAAACCATTAAATTATTTAAATAGTACTATGAAATATTATAAAGATGTTTCTCTGAGATAAAAATATGTGAATGCAATAAAGAATGGAGAGATTGTCTTTTAAATGTTTTATATGCCAAAAGCTAATCTGCTTTCTTAATGTTATGAGAAGTTCCTTAAACATGCTGCTGTACAGATTCAATCCCAACCTGAGACATTAAATATCGTCCTTCAGCTGGAAAAGCCTCTAGAATATTGAATTTGTATTATTGCTACTAATGTGAAGAATATTACTAAAACTAAACTTTTTGTGTTACACTGGAATGCTAGTCATTTGAAAATCTTACTTTGTAGAGAGCATCGTTCATTAATAATTTTTATTATCATACTTTACTCAGTTTATCTTGCTGAAGTTTTGAAAATAGCCTCCACAAACATTTGTAGCACAGATAACAAATCCATTGGGTTTATTGGCAACAACATTTTAAGAGAGATTCCCAATACTTTCAGGGCAGTCTTATTTTCTATGTTTTCACTTGAACTGATTTGGGGGTGGGGAGACCTGCTGGGTTATATTTAGAAACATTATTTGTGTACATAACAACAAAATACGAGGCTGGCACTGTATTCTACCAGGCTAAATGCGGGTGTCATTTCCTGGTCCCCTCACCAGACCATGGGCCCCAGGAGTCGAGTCCCTTTCTCACCCACGCCCCCACTCAATCGCACTTAGTGCAGCATTTTACAAATAAGGTTTCTGGAGTAACAGTCGCTGAGTGAACGGGTACACACAAGTGTACAGGTCCAAGCTAAGCATGCATGTAACAGAACTCAGTAATGAGTAGTTAAGGAAACAAAACAAGGAACTTAGAATTTCTTCATTCTATCATACATGAAGTCAATTTTAGATTTATTTTAATTTAATTTATAATATTTAATTTAATATCAAATTGAATTTATAATATTTCTGCTTTTAAAATAGATGTTTTATGTTTTTCAGAATTATTAGTTATCAGTATTTTTCATCCTTCTGAGTATATCTACCTATTGTAATTTAATAGGTAATCTAGGAAGATGAATTTCAATTGTTTGCTACTGAAATAAACTCTTTTTTCTTTTCCTTTTCTTCTTTTTCCCATTACTTTTCTTTCTTTCTTTCTTTCTTTTGCTAAAGAGGGGACAGCAGAAGTCACTCAATCGGGTAAGTATTTACTATCTCACAGGAAGTGACAATTAGCAAATTGTCACTAATTGCAAAAACACTATGTAAGTTTGAATCAATATCTAGTTTTGTCACATTTAGAAAATCCCTTAAGTACTCATATTCCTGCTTTTCTCTCCTACAGAAATAACTCCCAAACAATTAATTTAATTATTTAGAGAAGTTGCATGTGTCATCTTTCCACCCTGTAATTGGTTATCATTCGTGAAATATTGATTTCTTTCACACTCTTGTCTGAAGAGCATGGTGAGGAATACCATCAGTCCACTAAGCCTGTTTTGGAAACTGCACCCACAGTTCATGGGAGACAATGTGTGACTTTTGCATTGCTCACATCCATTCATTTATTGTCTAATCATCTACCACAACAGTCAAATCCTTACTTATATCTGAAGATAGCAACTGAAGTTTACATGTTTTTCCTGTTGTTTCAAGATTACACTAATTAATAAATGTACAGCTTCCTCTCCTGAACTGCAGGTCATGTAAGAAGAAAAGGGCTGTGTGTGCCTGACACTGAATGTAAGCAAAACATGTGTCCCCGAGGAGGTATCTCCCTGCCCAGCTCAGGCGCGGGGAGCCCTGATCCGCACTCACAGGGCTGTCTCATCTCCAGGCATTTGCTCCAGGACTGAGTCAGAAAATCATGTTTTTAAAGATGACGACTAGGGGCTGGGGATTTAGCTCAGCGGCAAAAGCGCTTGCCTGGCAAGCACAAGGTCGTGAGTTCGGTTCCTGGTACCGGAGAAAAACCAATAAACCAATAAACCAAAAAATAAAAAAAATAAAAAAAGATCACAACTTATTTGTATCTCTTTAGGAAAGAAGAAAGTTGAAAAACCTGAAAAGGAAAGTAAAGGTAAAGGTAACATTTTAAAATATGCACATTAAAATAGCCATAAGAAGAAAAGAAAAATCCATATAAGTATTTACAAAGTATGACTTGAAAACACTTTATCAAAATGTGGACCCTGATTTTGTAGCATGCATCAAAATTACAGCTAATCCATGCACAAGCTAAAGGCATCACATCGTATTATTGTGAAATAGCTAAAGGGTTCATGAATATATATCCTAAAGCAAACTCTACCAATTATTGATAAATTAATATCAAAGATTTCCTTTCATGGGACTCCAGAAATGTGAATTTTGACTACATAAAATTTAATTTTAAGCATTAACAAGACCTATTAATAAATGTAGTTTATTGGTTGCATACAGTGAGGTCTACCTGTATCCCAGCATTCTGGAAGGTGAGGCAGGAGTATCACATTTTGAGCCCCACCTTGGAAAGGAACTGACTTAATAAGGCTCTGCATAAATAAATAAATAGAAATGTGGCTCAGAGTGAAGACCTTGGGTTCAATATCCAGTACTGTAATGTGTAATATTGTAATACAGTATACTGTAATATATAATATACTGTAATATATAATATATCCAGGACTGCAATATATATTTATTATATGTCATATATATATTACCACTTATTTTTTACTGAAAAAGCAAAACTGAAGCATGTTCAAGAAGAAAAAAGTAAGTTTTTAAGACATATTAAAAAACAAGACAAAGTCCTGCAGTCAAAATAATTTTGAGTCAGAATTTATTTGCACCATTGGTAAATAAAATTTCTATGTACCTGCTGGGTGCTGGTCTGTGAAAAAAGGAAACATTGTAAGGAATGGGGCTGCGTGTGAAGGCGGTGTCAGAAACAGGCTAACAGGAAATCCAGGACAGCCTCTCTCTGGCGAGTCACTGGTGAACAGGAAGTGGAAACGCTCCTTTCTCCACCTTGACAATGGGTTGGTTCAGTCAGTGAGCTACACCTTATATGACAGTGAGCACTGAGTTCAGTCTAATTATCTGGAAAACTCACAAAGGCTTCAACTATCTTGGAAAACTCCTGCTGATCAGGAAGAAAGCATCCTTAAATGTCAGAATGATTGTCAAAAACACAAAAAACTTTTTATTGTTTATCTCCACCTTCTCACAATGAGCTGTTTTGCATGGATTCTAATTAAATTAATCACTACAATCAGATCTCTGTTTATGCAGGCAAAGCAATCTACTGCTAACATTTATTTTGTTAGATATTAGTTAGATAAAACACAAAATTTTGTACAATGAACCAAAGAAAATATTTACAACACTTAAATTATTCCTATCTTCCTTAAAATGAGACAAAATTTTAATGAAAGTTTGCATCACAAATTAATATTTTAACTCACATTTCCCTTTAAGCGGTTCCAACAAGGAAAGAAAGCCTTCATCTGCACAATGTGACAAAAGGTAAGCTTCAGCTTCATATTCAGATGTTATGCTGATATAGAAATGCCTGAATCACTTTGGACTTAACATGATGAATGTAAACATTAGTCTTGTTTAAAGCCAGGAAGTCTAGTAGGTACACACTTCTGATAACAGCAAGTGTAAGCACATAGAAAGTCTAGCACAGGGGCTGGGGATTTAGCTCAGCAGCAAAAGCGCCTGCCTGGCAAGTGCAAGGTCGTGAGTTTGGTTCCCGGTACCCGAGAAAAACCAAAAAAAAAAAAAAAAAAAGAAAGTCTAGCAGAAAATTTTCAGTGAAAAATAAGGCAACGTAAAGAAATCAGAACTACAAAGAACATAAACTTTTGGTAGATACTTCATTATTAACAAGGAGCTTCTAAAATATTTTTGTAGCATAAATAATGACAAAAAGATACATCTCTAGTTTTTTAAATGTGTATATATATATATATGTATATATATATATATATGTCTGGGATTTATTTTATCTATGAGTAAACAAAATACTGTTAACATCATGTATATATTTTTTATTATTTATAAGATCATACTTTAAATTTATTCAACCTACACACAAATTTGGACAATAACAGCATGGTATTAGAGAATAGATACTCTTTTGGTAGGTCTATGTTGGTGACATTATCATAACACTAACAGAATTATACAGTCTGAGTAACATAATCTTTGGCAATTTCAATTAAATAAAAGCATTATTTAAATTCTACTACTGTAGGAAGACATACCAAAGCCAAGCCAACCATCTTCATTCATGGTAAACACTAAGCTCTCCAGTTAGAGGAGAAAAAGCCTTGCATCACTCCTTACTGTAATATGCATACCTGATAGGCAGTGTGCACCTAGACATATATTCTAGCCATATTACTAACAACTTACACATAATCTCAGTAATATGAGAGGGTGAAATGAACAATAAGAGAGACATCCACATTTATGGAATGATAGAGGGGAAATTTAGCCCTGTAATTTTGTTTTCAAAGTGTGTAATATATTGAGATAACAAGCAAGAAGAATGAAAAGAAACAGATTACTTAGAAAATACACAACTATATCACCCTTGTGACTATTTTATTCAGTCCTTACTGTAGTCCAGTTATCACGCCTGGACTATAGACAAATGAAACGGATGGAAGAATCACATCCCAGAGTCCTTACACAGCAGAAACTGGTTTCGGCTCCAAGTCCAAGTCCCGAGGACAGGGAAGACTGTTCATGGTTCAGCCTGTCCAGTCACACTTCATTACCCTATAGCACTGTCACTCACAGATTCCTGCCAATCAGAGCAGCCCAAAGATAAAATGCATGGACTTTGCCCCAAGGGGATGGTCTACTCTGGCTGTGGTTAGAGGTTTCCCTACTAGCTGAGCTTAGAAGAGATTCAGACTTCGGAGAGATATTCTCTTACATTTTTCTGTGATTCTATCATTTGTGAGATTTTCATATTTTGAATACACAATAAAGTTTGAAAAACCTGATACAGAAACTGCTTGAAAGTAACCACTTTCTTATTCATTCCTTCGTTCAATAGTAGTTTCTTGATTCTCAGTATTTATTTTATTCCCTTCTAAGTCCATTTTCCTGACCAATGATATTATTTTTAAAGAAAAAATAGTAACATGTTTGAGTGAAGTACTTTGTTGGGTGTTTTTCTAAGGAATTCTGTGTGGGAAGCATGCTGCCACATTATCACTAAAAACGTAAGCACCCCAACTGAAAATGTTTTCTCAAAATTTTTTCTATTGGCTAACTTAAACTTTAAAATGCATAATGCTTAAGTTACATAAGAAAAGCTGCAAATCACAAAGTAAATAATGTAATGAAGAGCCTTCAAAAATTATATTTTGAAGCTTGGCTCTTCAAATTGAACAAATGTTGATAGAATAGATATGTTACCAATCTTTCTGAAAGAAGGTATAACATCTTCTATAGTATTTAGGGTAACCACCTTAATCTATATCTTTCATACTACATATACAGGTTGGATAAAAACATTACTTGCGCATATAATAAGGCTCATAGAAACTGAAAATTGATTTTGTATTTTACCTTAAAATATTTTTAATGTTGTAGTCTAGTTGATAATTGTTTATCTTTATTCATCTTTGAAAAACAAGTCTCCATTGTATGTTTCAGTGAATTTGGAAATTGTAAAGCAAGTATGGTATTTAGAGCAATTATATCATACAAAACACTTAACAAAGTGTCTCCTGATTTTATTAAGAACATATGTAAAGCATTTCACCTGAAATGAATGATGGCTTTTTGATAGCTCACATATATTCTTACATGAAAGACATTAATGGACATTGAATGAATCATGTTCACAAGGAATAAGGAGCTGTATTTCTTCGCCAACTCTTGAGAAAGAGGATACTCAAAAGATATCCCATACTGTTATGCAGTCCATTGATAAATACTGTCTCTTATTTTGTATTTATCTCAGTTAAAATTTATTTTCTTTTTTAGCGGAAAAACCTGAAAAAGTATCAAGTAAGTATACTATGTCCACAAGTTCCCTGTGTTATACATATCAATTTCAAGTTTAGATCTATAAATATTTTTATTTTTAATTTGTTCAAAGATCAGGTCATTCCATCCTGAAGCCCCTAACAGGAACTTGTTAGCTTTTATTCTTACTCATGTTTCAATGTCTAAAAACTGCTTGGATCACTTGAAATTATAATTCATCATAGGGATTTCTTGTTCTTAAACCTGAAAGGAACATCATTTGCATTCAAATAAATAGATCTTTTCAGCCAATGGAGCAAAATAATCTTGTACCTGCATTAAACTAGCAATCACGAAGTATTTAGTACAGAGCGCATATGGTAGGACAATGATGCTTTATTTGCATTCACTACTTAAATATAATTTTAGGCCTAAGAAGGATACTGGGTTTTGGAATGGGTAAAATGTAATGTAGCATAAACAGAAAGTCTTCCAGCCCAGAAACACTCTAAAATATTCTAAATATTCAAGCACAGACAAAAATTTACTTTGTATGATACAAATATAATTTTTTATGTTTTGTTCAAATTAATGAGTAAGAACAAATCTTCCTACATCAATACCATTCGAAACAAACATCATGTTGGCCACAAATGTAATTTCAAATTTCTGGAAGATACATTAAGTAAAAAGAAGCAGACAATAATTATTTTAATAGTATGCTTTATCTAACTCATATACAAACCTTAGTTCAGTATGCAATGAGTATAGAAATGCATTGATGGTTTACCACTTTTGCACTGATCCTTTGAAATGCTCTGTGTATTTTGCACTCACGGCACACTTGAACTGGCTCTTGTGACATGTCAGTGCCCCCGGCTGCTGCATTGGACTGGAGCAGAGCTTAGTGTTTACTGAGTGCTATACCCAAGACTTAATTAAAATACTGAAGAAAGTGCAAGAGAATCATTAAAACATGATAATCATCACATACCTAATATTCAAATTCTGTGACTATAAGTAACAAGACCCTATGGCCATCAGTAATTTTGAAAACCATTACAAGGATACTGAATGACTGCCTCACTGAGGTTAAGAGCAAAATTTTTAGCTGATCCTCTGGAAAGGCTTGAGGAAGCCACCCCCCTCCACATACTACCTACAGCCAAAGGTGGCAAGAGCAGGCTCCTGGAGGAGAGGGTGCTTTGAACTGTGGCTAAGATTTGGATGGAGAGAACAAAATGGGTAATCAAAAAAGCACAGTGTATGAAACAAAGAAAAAGTGTAGCTGAAATGTAGGCTACAAAGAAGGGAGGAGGAAAAGACACGCAGGGTAAGACTGTGAGGTGGAAACTATGCAGGGCAAAGGACTTCATTGTTATTGTCCCAGAAATCTTCCCTTTCCTTTATACAAGGAAGCAAAAGCTAAAGGAAAAGTTGGGACATAGTAGTAGCAGTAGTCATAGCAGTACTACTATAGTAGTAGGAGGAGTACTACATGGAAAGAGGATATGAGGAATAAAAATAAGATCATTTTCCAAGGAATATAAGGGAATAAATTCCCAGAGGAGTCAGGAAATGCTGCATTTTTATAAGTTGGTTTTCAGAGCATATGAAGATGTCTTGTTTAACACACATTAGTTTTTATCATCTTTTGAGGGATAACCATCAAAAACTGCCTCAGGCATTTATAAAGTAGGAAATGCTCAGTATAATTTATACTAAACAGTAATCTTTCTGTGCAGCATGATGTACTTGTATTTTTGGTTGGTGGTGGTGGTGAAGATTTTGTGAGTGTGTGAGACTTCTTTGCCTAAAGGAGGGTCAGTGGTAGTGATGCTTAGAGGCCATTGCTTTCTTTTTCCCACACTGACTCCATGCCAGTGCCTACGTCTCACTGCTCGGAGGACCTGGTGCTCTCACCAAAACAGCTCACATTCTCCACTTGGCACTGGATGCAGAAAGGGACCTTCGTGCTCACATTTTGGAGCACGCAGTGAAAAGAGAGCTCACAGCTGGCAGAGTACTAGTGAGAGGGGCTGTCTCGTCATTGTCTCTCACGGTTCAGCCTGACTGAGATGCTGGAAAGTGTCCCATTGGAACGGATCCCCAAATATCTGGGCTGTTACTGTAGGGATAAAAAATGCAAACCTGGAGATGCTAAAGAGAATCAGCAGTGCCCGGAGACCCCTTGGTTGCATCAGTGAAAGTATCAGGGCGCAATCAGGCTTCCCTGGGATTCACACAGCAGTATGGTTCAATCCACGTGTGTCGGGGTGGATTTATTTTTACTAGGTTATAACTTTATAATGTCTAAACATTATTTTATTTTCATTCTGTTTTCTTTATTTGTGAACATAGTAAATATGTAATAAATGATTTATTTTTCATGGAGTTTTGAGGAAGGCATTAGGAACAGGTATGAAGTACATTGCATTACATTTAATATCAATTAGTTTAAAAATAAAAATAAATGAAGATTTGGAATTTAAATAATGCTGACATACCATCCTGATACCAATATTTTAAATATTTTGGAAACCTTTGGTCTGGGAGAAAGCTATACAGCATACCCTATGAGATTGTTCCTCTAGACCTGCCCCAAGGTAAAACATAAAATAAAATGATGGAACCAGAAAATACATTATTAAAAGGTGAAGAGTGCTGAAGGGAAGGTCTTAGGTATGCCTCCAGGCTCTGAACTGGAATATATTAAAGCAATGGATGTTGGGTATTTCAGATGGAGTAATATGCTAAGGACATGTCTTGAAATTGCTCCATTGAGATGCTTAACTTTGGGATGTTTTCTTGAAACATTTTTCTTTAAGATTAATACTGAGTATTTTAGTATTAGCACATAACTGAAATTACCTGCCTGCACACAAGTTTGGAGCCATTACAAAATCTCCAAGATCTCAGATTAGTTATTTTAACTTTGATATGACTATACTGATCAAACTTAATCCTTTCTAGAAAGTAACTGTATTTGAATGATGCTTCAGCCAGTCCTAATAAAGGAATAGCTAGGAGTATAATTTTTTTAAAACTATACCCTTATCTGGAGTGGTGGTATACACCTATAATTTCAGCACTCAGGAGGCTGAGGCAGAAATATCGCCACAAGTTTAGGCCCAGCCTGGACTACATACGGAGTTCATGGCTAACCTGAACTACATAATGAGCCCCTGTCTCAAAAACAAACAAACAAACAAAAACCCAAAGCCTCAAAGCAATAGCCTTTGTACCGTACTTTTCTGGCTTTTAAAGAGCTTTGTAGGTTCTTTATAGTCTTACTTTTGTTTGATTCTGCATTTATCTTTTGCATAAATGTGGTGAGCAAATACATAATTCTCTTCAACATTAGAGGATGATGGTATTACAGAGGCCAGAATTAAACTAACTTGGAAATTGTTCTGAAATTTTAAACAAGGTTAAGGTAAAATTAAGGATTCTATAGATTTAAAAGATTTTTTTCTGAATTTATGTGTTTGGTATATTAGCTCTGACAAGCAAACTGTGAAATGAGGATCTAAGAAAAATTTCATTGAAAAGAATGTCATTAACCAGAACTGAAGCATACTATTTGTCATTAATAAAGGGGTAAACTATTTGTTTATTGTACATTCCTGCACTGACATTTCTCAGTAATTTCAGAAGATAAATTTCCTAGTAAGAATGTAATTTTCTCATTAAATGAATATTTATCTGTTTCAAATAATAATGTTACTATTAATGAATGGATGAATTGTAAAATGTAAGTGACTTACCAAAAGAGCTACTTCTCTTAGATTCTTAAACATGAAAAGAATATACCTTGTTCTATGTTGATAATTTAGTTTCATTTGCAGACAAATTAATGCTCTTCTTTAATATGATCAAACCAAAACAAAAAGTTACCTAAGAGTTAACCACCTCTAAAATTAATTTATGTTATCTCAGACTAATGAAGTTGCAGACAAAATGTAGTGTGCAGTTAATGATGATATATCAACATTTTAGTTGTTAAATAAGTGAATCAATTTTGCCACTGTATAATATATATGCCAGTCATGTTTCTGGCACTGCACAAGAAAATATAATAGTCTAATTGAGATGCAGTTATGGAACAAGTCTTGAATGAGTTTGAAAGGCAGTGTTCCTGTCGATTGTATATTGAATGCATTTGTCTTAAATTAGATCAAAATGTTTCCCAAGGAGGAAGTGAGATTGCAGGAACTCAGTGACTATCCAATCTCTTTCACTTGACTGTTATAAATTTTGTGAAAAAAAAAAAAGTGCCCTCTCCATCACTGTCAATAATCTTGTTAAGGAGGGGTTGTTTTATACGAAGTGTATGCTTTGGGGAGAATGGATATTAAAATTTCAAGGTTACCACTAAAGTCGTAGAAATAAGCTATACTCACTCCAAAGTAATAGAGGCTACCAAATAGAATAAGAAAAGGGAAACAGCATTTAAAATATGCTGCAGGCTTTTATATTGTTACAGTTAGAGAGAGTGATTATCTGCTGAGGATCAGAAAGGGGAAGAAGGTGTCTCCTTACTGCCTGTTTGTGGTTCAGGACGTCTACTGCCATCTTGGGGAGCGGGTACCCGCGCTTAACACACACTGGGGCTCCTTACCACCCACCGCCCTCCCTCGGTCTCTAGATCCCCGATCCCCATTCTGTGTTCTTGCTGGATTTCTTTAGTTCATGTTTCCAAGATACAATGCTTACCTTTAGGGAGGCCCCCTGGTGCGTGTAAATGATGCACCTTAAATCTTTTTGCTTTCCCGTCTCCTCACCCGCTCCCAGTACCCTCAGTCTCTCCGTCCATTCCTGTGGGAGCATCAAGGAAACAAAAACTGCCCTCTCCACTGCTCCTTTCATCCATCTTTTATTTTGCTCCTTACTGGTACCTTGGGTAACTCAAGTGAGAAAGTACGTGATATTTAAATTTATGTTTCTGTTTTATCTCACTTAACATTACGTCTTAAAAGTGTATTCGTTTCCTGCCAGTGTCTCAAATTTACCCTTCTTTATAGCTGAGAAATACCCCGCTG